TGCTAGTATCTCACTAAAAAGGCCTTTCTCTCTCTCCATGCCTTCAGGAACTCCTAGAACCTGAATGTGGTTTTTTTTTAATAGTATCCTGTAGATTCCCAACAATATTTTTTAGATTTCTAATTTCCTCTTCTTTTCTTTGGTTTGACTGTATGCTTTCCTGTGCTCTGTCTTCTAAGTCTGGTAGTCTCTCTTTTCAAGGCTCTCAAATGCATTTGTCATTTGATCTGTTGAATTCTCATTTCATTTTGATTTCTCTTCACTATCACAATTTCATGTTCTACTAATTGCTTCATTTAATTTTGATTTTTCCTTAAGATTTCATTTTCATGAGAGAGATTTTCTACCCTGTCCAGTAAGATTTCTGTAGTTCAAGAATTGTTTTTGAGAACTTCTACGTGTTCTTATCATATATTTTTGGAAATCGGTATCTTGCATTTCTTCTATCTCATCACCTTTATATCTTGGCTTGGGGTGTCTTGTTCATTTGGGGCATCATAATGTCTTCCTTGTTCTTGTTTCCTCAGTTTCTGCATTTTGCTTGGCATTATGGAGATATTCTTTGGTTTTTTCTTTTTTTTTTTTTTTTTTTTCTGTTGTGGTTTTTCTTGTTATACTATGACTCGATTAAGTGGACTGTCTGCTTTTGATGGATCCTTAGAGGCTTGTGATGGGTGTGGCCAGAGAGCTCTGTTTGATTCTTCAGGGTTAAGGGTGACACACCCAGGTTAGGCATAAATTTTTTTCTCTTTCTCTCTGTTTTTTTATTAAGAAGGGAAGTAATTCCACACAGCTGAGTGGAATTGAAGGCAGTCAGTGTCTGAGCTCTGGCCCCTGTGGGTATAATATTTGTCTGCTCTGTCCCAAGGACCACACAAAGGATCTGTGCAGTCCTCAGTGTAAGCTCAGATTCCCCTGCAGTCTTCCACCAGGTTGCCAAGGTTACCAAGTTTGCGGTGTCTCCCAAGAGTACTCACATCTCAGGCACTCCATGAGTTCTCTCACACACCCTCAGTTTTTTTTTTTTTCCACAGTCACAGTTCATAAGCTCCCACACATCACTAGGTCCTAACCTCCTTTTATTTCTCCCACCAGAGTCAGGTTTTTCTGCTTGGCTGAGGGCGGACACAGCCCTGAGGTGGCACAGCTTTTACATATGTCCAAAATGGTGCCTGCTCTTTGTCTTGCTCACCTTTGTAAGGTGAATGGAGAGAGAGAATCATGTCCATACTGGTCCCTTTTATTTTATTTTATTTTATTTATTTTATTTCTCTCTTTTAGTTAGCCTGGTGGACTTTCCCCCACAGTGCTTCAAGCCTCATTCCCACTAGGCTCTTCCTGCGACTTCCCTGCCAGTGTCTTGGGCTACTGAGGTTTTTTCTCACCTCCCTTTCCAGCACTGGCGTGTAGACTCGGCATCTGGGTCCCAAGCCATGGGCACCCGTGCCCTCCACATACGTCCACCATGTCCCACTAGTTCTGGAAGAGTTTCTTCTGCAGTTTTTTTCCCCTAACTCTTCCCTGAAACTACAGTATCTCCACTTTTATTAAACTATCTTTTCCTGGACTATCAGTGTGCTCCCTCCCTATTCCACCATCTTGGAGGACTCCTGCCCCCTGTATTCTAATAGTCCTTCCTGGTAGCTCAAGGAAGTTTTGCCAGGACTCTGTAAAAAAAAGATGAAATAAATTGTATTTCAGGAGAAAAGTGCTTTGTGTAGTGTCACATGATTTGTAAATACCCAGCACCTTAACTTCTGCCTAATGTTCTCTATCTTGCCACACTTAATTAAAAAACATTTATTTTTCAGATCCATTTCAGAAATTGTCACCAGTTCAAATAGTACTGCTTTAGAAAACTTACCTGAGCATGTCTTCCTTTTGCTACTAATGCTATGTTTGGAGTGTGTGACTTCAAAAAGCATATCATGAGGCTGGTGCTGTGGCACAGCGGGTTAATGCCCTGGCCTGAAGTGCCCACATCTCATATTGGCACGGGTTCAAGACTCGGCTGCTCCACTTCTGATCCAGCTCTCTGCTATGGCCTGGGAAAGCAGTAGAAGATGGCTCAAGTCCTTGGGTCCCTGCACCCATGTGGGAGACCTGGAAGAAGCTCCTGGGTCCTGGCTTTGGTTGGTGCAGCTCCGGCCATTGCAGCCATTTGCAGAGCGAGCCATCAGATGGAAGATCTCTCTCTCTCTCTCTCACTCTGCATAAATTTGACTTTCACATAAATAAATACATCTTTAAAAAAAAAGCATATCATAAAAATTTTCCCCCTTTCAGTAATTTCTTCTTGAACAATATGCAGTATACATGCAGCTACAGAAAATTACTGTGAACCTTTATCCTGCCTTCTGAGATAGTAAAATTATATTAAATTAGATTTCATATAATAAGCTTCTTAAAATATAAACCAAAAGAACACAATGACCATATATAAGCTGAAATGTGAAGAACAACCTTATGGTCTCCAAATAATTTATTTTTATGAATCCCAAGACTTTTTTTTTTTTTTTAGTAGCAGCTTTTCTAAGGTCTAATTGATAGGCAAAGATTGTGTTTATAGGAGCTTTTTTCTAAGTTTTTTAAAAAAATTATTTGAAAATATTGTATATAGAGGAGAGACCCAGAGAGATCTCCCTTCTGCTTGTTCACATCACAGATGGCTGCATTGAGCAGGGCCAGGAAAGAATGAGGTCAGGAACCAAGATCTTCATCTGGATCTCCCACATTGGTAGCATTTGCCCAAGTATTTGGATCATCTTCCATTGCTTTTCTCAGGCCATCAGCAGGAAGCTAGATCAAAAGCAGAACAGCCAGAACATGAACCAGTGCTCATATGGGGTGCTTGTATTGCAGACGGCAGGTTTACTTGCTATGTGACAATGCTGGCCCTGTTTTATGGGAACTTCCAAATGAAATTTTGAAGTTGTATGCATTGTAGTTTGCATGTAATTCAACTTTCTGCCATACTTACTGATATATATCAGCATTTGATGTAGGACAAATCAGAAAACACAATGGCTTAACAAATAGCCATTTGATTTGCAGTTCTGACTCTGTGTTTGGGCTGTACTCAGCTGGGCAGTTCCTATGATCAGTCCAGGAGCAGAAATGAGAGTTTAGCCATTTGGGGAACTGATTGAGGCTTCACTTAAGTGTCTGGGGTTTGTGGTGAATCTTGGCTATATTATCTCTTTTTTTCTTTTTTTGACAGGCAGAGTGAGAGAGAGAGACAGAGAGAAATGCTTCCTTCCATTGGTTCACCCCCCAAATGGCTGCTATGGCCATGCTGTGCTGATCCAAAGCTAGGAGACAGGCACTTCCTCCTGGTCTCCCATGTGGGTGCAGGGCCCAAGAACTTGGGCCATCCTCCACTGCCTTCCCAGGCCACAGCCGAGAACTGGACTGGAATAGGAGCAACTGGGTCAGAACCAGCACCCCAACTGAGACTGTCACCTGGAATACCAGTGCCACGGTGGAGGATTAGCCTAGTGAGCCATGGCGCCAGCCTACATACTATCTCTTCAACAGGCAGGCCCCAGGGTTTTAGAAGATAACTGTCAGAAAAAGAAAATCTGAGAAGGCAAATACTTTACAAATTGTCTATTTCTGGGGCTGGTTCTGTGACATAGCAAGTAAAGACACCGCCTGCAGTGCCAGCATCTCATATGGGTGTCAGTTCATGACTCCTGCTCCACTTCTGATCCAGCTCTTTGCTACAGCCTGGGAAAACAGTAGAAGATGGCCCAAGTCCTTTGGCCCCTGCTCCCTTGTGGGAGACCTGAAAGAAGCTCCTGGTTCATATCTTTGGATCTACACAGCTCCAGCCATTGCAGCCATCTGGGGAGTGAACCTGCAGTTCGAAGACCTCTCTTTCTCCTCCTTCTCTCTCTCTCTCTCTCTCTTTCTCTGCCTCTCCTTCTCTCTTTGTGTAACTCTTTCATATAAATAAATATTTTAACAAATTGTCTATTTCTATCACATTTACTGGTATCTCATGGGGTAAATCAATTGAAATGGTGAAATTCAGGTCTTTTTCAAAAGATTTATTTATTTATTTGAAGAGTTACACACAGAGAGAGGGAGAGGCAGAGAGAGAGATAGAAAGCTTTTCCATCTGCTGGTTCACTTCCCAGTTGGCTGCAATGGCCAGAGTTGTGCCAATCCAAAGCCATGATCCAGGAGATTCTTCTGGGTCTTCCACATGGGTACAGGGCCCAAGGACTGGGCCATCTTCTACTGCTTTCCCAGGCCATAGCAGAAAGCTGGATCAGAAGTGGGGCAGCTGGGAATCAAACCAGTGCCTATATGGGATGCCAGTCTGCAGGTGGCAGGTTTTACCCGCTAGGCCACAGTGCCAGCCCCAATCCAGGTTTTGTGAAGGGATGAATACAGGGAAAGGTGCTACTTGGAATCATTACTGGTAAAGTGCACTGCATTAAATATACATTATGTGTATTTGTTAACTTTCTTTAGTATAAACTTTAATAACAACATAATGTTTATCTCTGATAACCTTATTCATTTGAACACTCAACTTTCTTTTTACTTTTACATTATTATTTTACAAAATTGTAGATAATGCTTTCGTTAAACCAATGATAACTTCTGTTTAATCTCTGCCACTTAATATAGGTGGGTGCATTTTCCTATGTATTTTTATTTTTACAGGATTATTCCTCCACAGTGAACCTGATGTTTTCTTGGTTAATGTATTTATTATTATTTATTCATTCTATTATATCATTTTTTTCCCCACTGTTCAGTGCAGAAGGAAACCAGAGGGTTTTTTTTTTTTTTAAAGATTTCATTTATTTATTGAAAGAGTTGCAGAGAGAGAAAGTCTTCTATCTGCTGGCTCACCCTCCAAATTACTGCAAAAGCCGGAGCTCAGCCGATCCAAAGCCAAGACCCAAGAGCTTCTGGGTCTCCCATGCAGGTGCAGTGGCCCAAGGACTTGGCCATGTTCCACTGCTTTCTCAGGACATAGCAGAAAGCTAGATTGTATGTTGAGCAGGCAGGACTCGAACCAGAACCCATATGGAATGCTGGCACTGAAGGCAGCAGCTTTACCCATTATGCCACAGCGTTGGCCTCCCGAGTTTTCTTTGAACTCCTGCCATTCACCTTCTCTCCCAGGTATGATTCTGGGTCCTCCACATGTTTCTAAGAGGAAAGAAAATTAATATATCACCTGTAAGTGTTTTTTTTTTTTTTAATTATTCCCCAGCTTGTCAGTACTCATTTTAGGTGTTTAATGCTAGTTTATTTTTTTAGATTTTTTTTTTATTTATTTGAAAGTCAGAGTTACAGAGAGGCAGAGGGGGAGAGAGAGAGAGAGTCTTCCATCTGCTGGTGCACTCCCCAGTTTGCCACAATGGCCGGAGTTACACTGGTCCAAAGCTAGAAGTGAAGAGCTTCTGGGTCTCCCACATGGGTTCAGGGGCCCAAGGACTTAGGCCATCTCCTACTGAATCCCCAGGCCATAGCAGAGAGCTGGATTGGAAGTGAAGCCACTGGGACTTGAACTGGCACCAATATGGGATGCCAGCACGAAGGCAGTGGCTTTACCTGCTAGCCACAGTGCCAGTCCCAGTATACTAGTTAAATTGGAAAATATGGGGCCGGCTCTGTGGCTCAGTGGGTTAATGCCCTGGTCTAAAGCATCGACTTCCCATATAGGCACCAGTTTGAGACCCGGCTGCTCCACTTCTGCTCCAGCTCTCTACTATGGTCTGGGAAAGCAGTGGAAGATGGCCCAGGTCCTTGCGCCCCTGAACCCATGTGGGAGACCCAGAAGAAGCTCCTGGTTCCTGGCTTCAGATTGGTGCAGTTCCAGCCATTGCAGCCAATTGGGGACTGAACCAGCAGATGGATTCCTCTCTCTCTCTCTCTGCCTCTCCTCTCTCTGTGTAACTCTGACTTTCAAATAAATAAATAAATCTTTAAAAAATTTTAAAATAGAAAAATAAACATAAAATTTATTATCACAGAATATACAGAAATGAATTATGAATTTGGCATGATTATGAAACATTACTGTCATCTATAATAATGCAGTTTGGTCTCTTGTCTTTCTGTTGCTATTGCAAAATATATATTTGTTACATGAATTGAGTTGAAACTAAGCACAATATGCTACCTTTTTGGGGTCATGTCTGAAACATTCTACACATAGATGATGTACTGAACAGTGTTTTAGTGCTACCTATGAAGTAAACACTTAGCATTCTGCAAGAGGAAGAGTTACCTAGTGCTGGAACACAAATCAGTTAAGTTTGTTTTCAAATTGTTAGAGTAATGGAGTTCTTAATACCTTTGAGAAGCTGAATTGGATTCTGGAATAGGATAAGGAATGTGTGGAGAAAAGAATCTACTGGAGGCTCATTTATTTTTTTAAGATTATTTATTTGAAAGGTGGACTTGCAGAGATTGGGAGAGACAGGGAGACAAAAGGATATATCTTCTTTCTAGTGTTCATTCCCCAAATGCCCACAATGGCTGCGACTGGGCCAGGCCAAAGCCAGGAGCCTGGGACTCCATGGGTCTCCCACATTGGTGGAAGGGTCCAAATACTCAGGCCATTTTCACTGCTCTTTCAATCAGGTTAGCAGGGAACTAGATTGGAAGTGGAACAGCAAGGACTCAAGTCCTCTGTTTACATGGGATGCCAGCATTGTTGGTGGAGGCTTAGCCTGCTGGATCACAATTCTGGTGACTATTGCAGGTTCTGAAACAAATCTCTAAGCATTTTTCTCAGTGAGTCACAAATGCAGATTGTACTGCAGACATTCCCAGGTTCTCTTTTTGGGCAAATAATTCCATTGCTTTCATTTAATTATGTATAATGTCATTTCAAATGTTTATCATTTGAATGTTTTGGGCAAGTATTTCCATTGCTTTCACTTTAATTAGGTATAATGTTATTTCATTGTTTATCACTAGAATAATCATAGACAAGGGCAAAAGCTAATTTGTATTCTTTGTCTTACCTGTATTTTCTCTCTTACTTAAAAATATTTATTAGCTTGATAGAGAAAAAAGTTGATGGACTGAGAGATAGAGAGCTTTGACACGTTAATTCACTTCCTAGATAACCATACCAAACAGGTGGGGTAGGACTGAAGCCAGGATTGAGGAATGGAGTCTAGGCCTCCTTCATTGGTGACATCACCATTGCTTCCCCAGGTTTGCATTATCTGGGAGCTAGAAACTAGAGCTGGCATTGGAAATCACAGACACTCTGAGGTGGCATCATAAACAACACTAAGCTAAATGTCTGCCCTGTCTTTTAATATATTTTTCCTCTGACATATTGGAAATGATATGCATGGTGTTTTCCTGGAAATTGTTTTCTGTTCATTCCCATCGTAGTTTCACTGATAGTTTCTTGCCTTTTTTTCTCAATGCTTCTACATACTTCTCCTTAACATTGCCCAGTCAAGAGTCAGTATTGCCCCTCTTCTAGCCTGCTGTGCAATTCCCCTTGACAGATGTGGCCTTTGTGATTTGAACCTCCTGTTTCCCTCCAGCTTGGGCATGTCTCACAGCCTGTAGATCATGGGTTTGACTCTGTTGAATGCTCCGTGTGGCTTTCTAAACACTCCACAAGTCTAATGTGAAACCATATCCTTCCTTTTTTCCTTCATATCCATACACAACTGTCAGTGTTTATTTTGTGACAGAGTTAACATGTTGACTGGAAGTGTATTATTATAGGTGATGACAGCATTTGAAGACCTGGCTGTGTACTTTACATGGGAGGAATGGCAGAAAATGAACAATGCTCAGAAAATCCTGTACAAAGATGTGATGCTGGAGACCTACAGCAGCCTGTTCTCCTTGGGTGAGTGACACCCATCACATGCCCAGTGATAACATTTTCTTGCTATTGACAAATAAGGGAACACTTTATAATGTTTAATATTGGGCAGGATTAGAATTTGAGTCCATGAATAATCTGAATATCTACCATCTAACAAAAGATTCAAATTGGAACATTTGTTGCATAGCTCCTGAACCAAGCTGTAGTCCTTTAAATAACCCAAGATAGTGATTTTACAAAGTCTTACTTTGTTTCCATTAATAGGGCACTGCATTACCAAACCTGACTTGATCTTCAAGTTGGAGCGAGGAGAAGAGCCATGGATGGTGGATGAATGCTTGAATCAGAGCCTTTCTGGTCAGTCTGCACATAAGAGACAGGGAGGCCAAGGCAGAAAGTGTGCAGATGTTGACTGGTGTTCTTTCCATGAATTTTTCGCAAGCCTTACTCCTGATGACAGCTGCTTTTGTGCATCAGACACAGGCATTTAGAGATACCAATATCTTTCTAACTTTTGTTCTTAGTGAAGATGTTCTTAGATTAAAAAAAAAAAATCCAGTCATTTTCTGATGTTACTAAGGATTTTATCTAGGTTTGATACATTCCCCCAATTCTAACTTGTCCTTCTCTACACTTTCATACCTTTTCCTTCATGCACTTATTAGTTCCTTCAGTGCTTGTTAATTAGGCAACATACAGAAACTTTTTTTTTTTAAGATTAATTTTTCTGTGTGTTTTTTTTTTTTTTTTTGACAGGCAAGAGTGGACAGTGAGACAGAGAGACAGAGAGAAAGGTCTTCCTTTTGCCATTGGTTCACCCTCCAATGGCCACCATGGCTGGTGTGCTGTGGCTGGCACACCATGCTGATCCAAAGCTAGGAGCCAGGTGTTTCTCCTGGTCTCCCATGCGGGTGCAGGGCCCAAGGACCTGGGCCATCCTCCACTGCACTCCTGGGCCACAGCAGAGATCTGGCCTGGAAGAGGGGCAACTGGGACAAAATCCAGCACCCCAACCAGGCCTAGAACCTGGTGTGCTGGTGCCGCAGGCAGAGGATTAGCCTATTGAGCTGCCATGCCAGGCTGTTTCTGTTTTTTTTTTTTTTTTTTTTTTTTTTTTTTTTAAGATTTATTTATTTATTTGAAAGTCAGAGAGAGAGGAGGGAGAGGCAGAGAGAGAAAGAGAGGTCTTCCATCCACTGGTTCACTTCCCAATTGGCTGTCATGGCTGGGGCTGTACTGATCTGAAGCTAGGAGCCAGAAGCTTCTTCCAGGTCTCCCATATGGGTACAGGGGCCCAAGTACTTGGGCCATCTTCTACTGCTTTCCCAGGCCATAGCAGAGTGCTGGATCAGAAGTGGAGCAGCTAGGACTTGAACTGGTGGCCATAAGTGATGTTGGCACTGCAGGTGGTGGCTTTATGCTATGCCACAATGCCAGCCCCCAGAAACTTATTTCTAACTCATTGCTCAGATTGAGTTCCCACTCATGATTTTGCCCAGACATAGAACTTGCTCAGGACTGAATCAATAAATGTGAACTCTCTCTTTCTTAGTCTCTTTCTTTTCTTTTCCTCTGTGCCTCTCAAATAAATAAGAAAATTATAGTCTGTTGGAAACATTTGAGGAGTGAGCCTACAGTTGGCAAACCTCTGTTTCAGTCTGTCTTTATCTCTCATTCTGTCTCTCTGACTCTCAAGTAGGTAAATAAGTAAATGCTAAAAGATGGTCATGTGGCTGGCACTGTGGTGCAGTGAATTAACACCCTAGCATGAAGCACCAGCATCCCATATGGGCACCAGTTCGGGACCCAGTTGTTCCACTTCCAATCCAGCTCTCGGCTATGGCCTGGGAAAGCAGTAGAAGATGGTCCAAGTCCTTGGTCCCCTGCACCTGAGGGAGACCCAGAAGCAGCTCCTGGCTCCTGGCTTCAGATCAGCACAGTTCTGGCCATTGTGGCCAATAGGGGAGTGAACCATTGGATCAAGACCTTACTCTCTCTTTGCCTCTCCTCTCTCTGTGTAACTCTGACTTTCAAATAAATAAATAAATCTTTAAAAATAAAAGATGGTCATGAGTAAGCCTCTGTGCTGTGACATCAGAAATTATGAAGCTAGGAATGACACTGTGGTGCAGTGTGTTAAAGCTCCAGCCTGCAACACTAGCATTGCATATGGGTGCCAGTTCAAGTCCCAGCTGGTCCCCTTCTAATCCAGCTCTCTGCTAATGCACCTGAGAAAAGAGCAGAGGTTGGCCCAAATCCTTGGCCCCCTGTACCCATGTGGGAGACAAGAAAGACACTCCTGGCTCCTAACTTCATTTTGGCCCAGCATTGGTTGTTGTTCCCATATGGGGAGTGAACCAGCAGATGGAAGACTTCTCTCTGTCTCTCTCTCTATAATTCTAGCTTTCAAATAAAGTAAATCTTTGAAAAAAAAAAAAAGAAATCCTAAACTAAGGATGAACTTACATAAAACATGAAAATAAGTGATCCTAGACTCACCAAGAAAATACTGAGATTTTGAGACCCAAGGTCAAGTAGCCTCTTGGGGTTATGTTGAGTGGCTCAGATTTCTTTAAGGGTGGAGTTTGAAGTATGATTTCTCTCTTATTTTTCAGTATCATTGAAAAATAAGCAAACAAAAAGACAAGAAAAGCATAGGAAATGAAGCTTTCAGTGAAAATAGGAGGCAACTGATCAAAAGCCTCCAGAAATTCAAATTATCACACAGGAATGTTTCTAGAAAGAATTTAGAGGAGGTAACCAGCACTGATAATTTCAGAATGAGTTAGAAAACACTTTTCAAAGATGAGCAATTCCCGGTTTGCAGAAACAAATTCTTCAAACTGATTGGGAGTGTTTAACTAAAGTGGTATTTTGGGAATTTTCTGTACCTGTTGTACTTCTGAGAAGCTGAAGGTGTTGGGTGTCCTTAGGAATTTGGGGAAGCTGTCATAGAGTAGAGACAAAGTCATTTTTCATTTGAAAAATCCCACAAATGATGTTTACCTAGGAAGACTGAGCATGAGACACTCATAGATTCAAATCCTACTCCTTAAATATTGTCCTGCTTAAAGTACAGGCACATTTCACTCTTCTCCACCTGCAAGTAAATGATCAGTAAAACTTTTTCATGTTTATGGTTGAGATATCAGAGAAGCAAAAAGCACACAATTTTTATAAAAATAAACTGGAGAAAAAGGACAGGGAAAAAAATGGTTGCTAGGTAGTGGGTGAATATTTTTATTAAATATTTGCCCATTCTTTAAAATATTTTATAGTTATTTCATCTTTGTGAAAGGCAGAGTGATAGTGAGAGAAGAGAGAGAGAGAAAGAGGTCCTCTATTAGCTCACTTCCCAGATGCCTGCAATACTTAGGTCTAACTAGTCTGAAGCCAAAACTCTAGAATCCCTCTAGTCTTCCCTGGTTTCTCACAGGTTCCCAGGCACATGAACCATTATCTGGTTCCTTCCAGTTTACATAGGCAGAGAGCTGTACTGAAAGCAGAGTAGCCAGGGCTCAAACCGACACTGTTTTGAGATGCAGGCATCCCACACATCATAGCACAAAAGTCATTCTACCATCCTTGACAAATTCCCATAGTAAAAAGGATCATGTTTGAACATTGGGAAACTTCATGGTATATTAATGTATTAAGGAGAAAAGCCATATAATGGTCACAAATAAGTACCTCATACTGATTTTGTGAACATCTTATGCCACTTGGATTACAAGTAACTTCATTCCCTTTACCTGAGTATGGCAGGAGAAACAGTTACATGTGATTCAGTGACATGATTGCTTTTTTCTCATTTCAGTGGTCATGAAAAGGGATGACCTGATTAGGATCAACCAGGAAAGTCAGGACAAAAATCTGAATCAGGATTTTATGAAAAATAACAAGACATCAGCTCTCAAGGGAATTGAATTAAGAAAAACACTTAGTTTAAATTCAAGCCATGTTCCAACACTGATTATTAAAAAGGGAATCTATTCAGGATTGAAGCCTGAGGAATGCAATAAATGTCACACTGTGTATCCCCCCAGTGGGCCTGATCAACTACAGGCTGGAGAGAAATTTGATAACACTAAGATACCTGGAAAATCTCTCCAGTTCTGTGAGCCTCTTAGCCAGCTTGACAATATTCACATCATGAAGCAGCCATTTGGACCCACTGGACAAGCAAAAGTCTTCACAAGAAAGATGTTCTGCAAATCTGAGAGGGTTCATATGGCAGAAAACTGTAATAAGTCAACTGTCACTTTTGGAAAAGCAACACAAATAGAAAAAGCTATCCATGAAAATTCTAGCCTCAATATGCATCAACAAACTCACACAAGAAAGAAATTTTATAAGTACATTATGTATTTTGAACCTGTCATTCACCAGTCACATCTTGCAATAAACCAGAGACTAAATACAAGGGAAAAACTTTACACATGTAAACCTTGTGGAAAATCACTCAGTTTTAATTCACCTTCTGAATGTAATGACTGTGGAAAAGCCTTTAGACAAAAGTCAGTCCTCAGGAAACATCAGCAAATTCACACAGGGGAGAAACCTCATGAATGTAGTGACTGTGGAAAAACCTTTAGACAAAAGTCAGTCCTCAGGAAACATCAGCAAACTCACACAGGGGAGAAACCTCATGAATGTAGTGACTGTGGAAAAGCCTTTACACAAAAGTCAAACCTCATCAAGCATCAGCGAATTCACACAGGAGAGAAACTTTATAAATGCCTTGAATGTGGAAAAGGCTTTCTGTGGAAGTCAGACCTCATAGTACACCAGAGAATTCACACAGGGGAGAAACCTCATAAATGTAATGACTGTGGAAAAGCCTTTGCACGAAAGTCATCCCTCCTCATACATCAGCGAATTCACACACGGGAGAAACCTCATGAATGTAATGTCTGTGGAAAAGCTTTTGGACGAAAGTCAATCCTCATCATACACCAGCAAATTCACACAGGGGAGAAACCTCATAAATGTAATGACTGTGGAAAAGCCTTTGGACAAAAGTCAGACCTCATGAAACACCAGCGAATTCACACAGGGGAGAAACCTCATAAATGTAATGACTGTGGAAAAGCTTTTGGACAAAAGTCTATCCTCATCATACACCAGCGAATTCACACAGGGGAGAAACCTCATAAATGTAATGACTGTGGAAAAGCCTTTGGACAAAAGACACACCTCCTCATACATCGGCGAAATCACACAGGAGAGAAACTTCATAAATGTAATGACTGTGGAAAAGCCTTTGGAGAAAAGTCAAACCTCATCATACACCAGCAAATTCACACAGGGGAGAAACCTCATAAATGTAATGACTGTGGAAAAGCTTTTGGACGAAAGTCACACCTCATCATACACCAGCAAATTCACACAGGGGAGAAACCTTATAAATGTAATGACTGTGGAAAAGCCTTTGGACACAAGTCAGGCCTCAGGAAACATCAGCGAATTCACACAGGAGAGAAACCTCATAAATGTAATGACTGTGGAAAAGCCTTTGGGCAAAAGTCAGAGCTCCTCATACACCAGCGAATTCATACAGGGGAGAAACCTCATGAATGTAGTGACTGTGGAAAAGCCTTTACACAAAAGTCAAACCTCATCAAGCATCAGCGAATTCACACAGGGGAGAAACCTCATAAATGTAATGACTGTGGAAAAACCTTTGGACAAAAGTCAAAGCTCCTCATACACCAGCGAACTCACACAGGGGAGAAACCTCATGAATGTAATGACTGTGGAAAAGCTTTTGGACGAAAGTCATACCTCATCATACACCAGCAAATTCACACAGGGGAGAAACCTTATAAATGTAATGACTGTGGAAAAGCCTTTGGACACAAGTCAGGCCTCAGGAAACATCAGCGAATTCACACAGGAGAGAAACCTCATAAACCTCATAAATGTAATGACTGTGGAAAAGCCTTTGGACAAAAGTCAAACCTCATCATGCATCAGCGAATTCACACAGGAGAGAAACCTCATAAATGTAATGACTGTGGAAAAGCCTTTGGACAAAAGACACACCTCATCGTGCACCAGCGAATTCATACAGGGGAGAAACCTTATAAATGTAATGACTGTGGAAAAGCCTTTGGACAAAAGTCAAACCTCATCATGCATCAGCAAATTCACACAGGGGAGAAACCTTATAAATGTAATGACTGTGGAAAAGCCTTTGGACAAAAGTCAGACCTCCTCATACACCAGCAAATTCACACAGGGGAGAAACCTCATAAATGTAATGACTGTAGAACAGCCTTTGGACACAAGTCATGCCTCATATTACATTAGAGAATTCACACAGGGCAGAAACTTCATGAATGTAATGACTGTGGAAAAGCCTTTGGACAAAAGATTAACCTCATATCACAGCAGAGATTTCACACAGGGTAGAAAACTCGATTGTAATAACTGTGGAAAGCATTTAGCCATAAGTCAACCTTCATCATGCATCAGAGAATTCACACAGGGCAGAAACCTTATGAATGTAATGACTGGAAAAGCCTTTGGACAAAAGTCAAACCTGAATGCACCAGAGAATGCACACAGTATTGAAATTTCATGAGTGTAATGACTGTGGAAAAACTTAATCTCCAACTCCAAATGCTTCAGAGGATTCACACAGGGAAATAACCTTATAAATGTAATGACTGCAGAAAAGCCTTTTTCTATAAGTTATACTCATATCAAAACAGTTCACACAGGGCAGAAACCTTATGAATCTAGTAAGTGTGGAAAAGCCTTTATAAATTATATGTTATTAATCATAGCTCATATCACACCAGAGAATTCACACCGGGGAGAAACTTCATGAATGCAATGACTGTGGAAGAGCCCTTGGCAATAAGTCACATCTCAGAATGCATCAGAAAATGCACAGGAAGAGAAACCTTTTGGACATAATGACTTGGAAAGCTTTTCCCCATAATTCAGCCCTCATTGCACATCATCTAATTCATATGGGGGAAAACACTTTGGGTATAATGCATATGGAAAAGCCTTTATCCATAAGTACACCTCATAAAACATCAGAATTCACATGGGGGAGAAACCTTATGAATGGAATGAATGTTGGAAAACTCTGCCAAAATCACACAATATAACATCAGAGAATTTATTACATGGTGGAAATCTTGTAATAAATGTGGGAAAGCCTTTTGTCAGAAGGAATACCTCATAACATGTAGATCAAACAGGGGAGAGAACTTAAGAATATAGTAAATATGAAGGACTTTTTGCAAAAGCAACATAACCATGTGACAGAGCCTTTTGCTGGAAATTACATCCCATACAATAGGCACTCCCATAAGGAAGAAAGGTTGGGACCAGCGCTGTGGCACAGTAGGTTAAAGCCCTGGCCTGAAATGCTGGCATACCATGTGGGCACTGGTTCTAGTCCCAGTTGCTCCTCTTCTGATCCAGCTCTCTGCTATGGCCTGGGAAAGCAGTAGAAGATGGCCCTGCACCCACATGGGAGACCCAGAAGAAGCTCCTGACTCCTGGCTTTGGATCGCTGCAGCTCCAGCCATTGCATCCATCTGGGGAGTGAAGTAGCAGATGGAAGACCTCTTTCTGCTTCTCTGTCTCTCTAACTCTGTCTTTCAAATAAAAAAATTAAATTGTTAAAAAAAGAAGTTCAGAAATATTATTAGTGTGACAAAAAGCCATTTGTCAGAAATGGCATTATACATCAGAAAATTCACCCAAGGTGTTTCTTAGCAGTGTAATGAATGTGGAAGTATATTTTCATAGAATTCAGGCTTGCATAAATATGCAACTCAAAAAAGGTGATATCCTTCAAGTGCAACAGACCTCAAAAAACCATAGCCAGAAATTAAACATCAGGCTGGCACCATGGAGCAATAGGTTAATCCTCCACCTTCTATGCTGGCATCCATATAGGTGCCAGTTCTAGTCCCAGCTGCCCGTCTTCAATCCAGCTCTTTACTGTGGCCTGGGAAAGCAGTAGAAGACAGCCCAAGTGCTTGGGCCTCTGCACCCACATGGAAGACCAGGAAGAAGCACCTGGCTCCTGGTTTCAGATCAGTGCAGCTCTGGCCACTGTGGCCATTTGAGGAGTGAAACAACAGAAGGAAGACCTTTATCTCTGTCCCTCTCACTGTCTGTAACTCTACCTGTCAAATAAATAAAAATATTAAAAAAAAAACAAGAAATTAAACATCAACTAACATCAGAGAATTCATACAGTAAAATGTCAATTTAATGAATGTGAAAAAATTTTTCTGCCATTAATCAATTCACATGAAGAGACTCCAAAATGAGAAAACATATGTGCATAGAAAAGTCATGTACCATGGCCATGGTGATTTCACTTTTATTGTAAGATCATCATCACCCCCAACATTCTTTAAGTTGCCCTGGAAACTGTGAGGTACACAGTGTCTCAGGGCCATTTTAGCCAAGAGTAATAATTCTTTCTCCTCAATGTAATATATATATATATGAATATATGTAACATATATAACATATATATATTTTATACATAGATAAATTTGCCACTGTGTGTCTAGATACTAGTATATTTCCTGAAAATTATGCGGGAAAATAGTGGGATCTTAATGTGATTTTTATCCCAGAATTAGGTATGTTTATTTAATTTTAGAGGTTGGTAGACTTGGAGACACAGAGAAACAGAGATTATGAGCTACAACTTGGTGGCTTACTCTTCATTCTTGTAATGATCAGAAACTGGATTATTACAGAAAGCTGAGCTATTCTTTTCTGATGATAAATACATTATAAAAATTTCAAAAGGTTGCTCTATATATTTATATTACAAATTATATATATGTACATTTATATTGTAATGTCATAAAGTAAACACACACACATATATATTATATATATAAACACCTTTAAAATTCTCCTTGTTATTGGTATAAATATTTTGAATTTTAAATATTTACTTCCTTTTAAAATTTTATTTAATATAAGTTTGATATATTTCATATATACAGACTAATGAATGTAAGTGACACTTCCCCTGATACCCTCCCTCCCACACACAGTCCAACCCTTTCTCCTCTTCCCTCTCACATTCCCACTTAACTTTTACAAAATCTGTTTTCAGTTTACTTAATGATTGTATAGTTAACCCTACACTAAGTAAGAGTTCAACAAGTCATCAAATAGTATGAAGAAAAAAAATGAATTTAAAAAACTCACTGTTACTCAATGGAAGAGACAAGGACTCTAAACAATCATCAAATCTCAAAATGTGTATCTAACTCCAATACATTACATTTTAGGTACTCTATTAGCTACCTCAGATCAGGGAAAATATAGGATATCTGTCTTTTGGAGACTTGTTTATTTTACTAAGTATAATGGTTTCCAGCTTCATCTATCTTGTTGCAAAAGACAGGGTTTCTTTTTCTTTCTTTCTTTTTTAATAACTGAGTAGTACGCCATAGTGTGTATATACCATAATTTTCTTATCAAGTCAACAATTGATATCTGGATTGTTCCCAGATCTCAGCTATTGTGAATTGTGCTGCAATGAACATGGGGTTATAGATAACTCTTGCATATGCTAATTTTGTTTGGGTAAATTCCATGGAGTGGGATGGCTAGATCAAATGGTAGGCCTATAATCAGATTTGTAAGATATCTCCATACAGTTTTTCACAGTGGCTTGCATCAGTTTACATTCCCACTAGCAGTGGACCAGCATAACTTTTTTCCACATCCTCATCAGCTTTGTCATTTGTTGATTTTTTTTTTTTTTGACAGGCAGAGTTAGGCAGTGAGAGAGAGAGAGACAGAGACAGAGAGAAAGTCTTCCTTCCATTGGTTCAGCCCCCAAATGGCCACTACGGCTGGTGCACTGCAGCCAGCATGCTGCGCTGATCTGAAACCAGGAGCCAGGTGCTTCCTCCTGGTCTCCCATGCGGGTGCTATTCTTTCTTCCCTAGTTCTGACTCTTAAAACTGTTCCAAATTATGGGATTTGATTCAATGCACCAGGTCTTAAATTTAAGGTTTTATTTCTGACTTTTGAACAACCAAAGGGACAGATTCTGTGTTATTTTAAAGTAATCTACTATGTTCTCTTAATGCCTCTTAAGTTCTAATTGTTTAAAACAACTGAGTTTTAAAGGAGTTATGATTTGATCAAATCTGACCCTTGGGCTAGATGGTGAAAGTGACATCTTAAGTTTTAACATATTTATATATATATATATATATATATGATTAAGTTTAAAAGTGACTGTATTTGATTGCATTAAGTTTTAAGTTGATCATGTAGGAGGCACTGTTAAAGTGATCATATCAACAGAATTAAAGAGTAGTAAATGCTTGAACATGGGAAGCAGTCCATACAGCAGACTCATAGAATGGCAATTGCTCTAAGTAATGCTCAATGACCTCAGAGTCATCCCTAAAGGCATTCTGGTCTGGCTAAAAAGCCCACAAGAGCATTTCAGGCATGGAAAGTCAGGACACTTGTGCAAAAAGGTGTGCCTACATGGAGAGTCTCCCTGGGTGAGACTCCTGTGGAAAGAAGTGGTCATCAAAGAAGGATGTACTCTCTTCAAAGGGAGAACTTTCACTTTGCTTATGGCCTTCTCTAAATATTGATGGATTTTGTAGATTCAGAAGGCTTCCATAGCCTAGACAGTTCATGTCAAGAGCCTTGGGTGATCACTGACAGCACACAAAAGAGTGTGAATTGTGAAATTAACCACAGGAGTCACTGTGCATTAACTTCCCATGCAGGACCATAAGACTATGCTTAAAAAACAGAGGGGAGAGTACGGTACCCCCACTATGAGTGTATTAACTTTGCTCCTTTCACCGTAAAGTTCTTACAGGTCTCACCCCCTGGAGAGCCACCAGCAGTGAGACACTGGAGACCTTTCACAGGTGCAACCCAATTGCCTCTGGTTTGATGGAGGGACCCAACCACCCAACAATGGAAGGGGCCTGATCCTCTCATAATGATGGGCAAAGGTTTTGCTTGTGCTTTCCAGAGATCACTCTGCAGCCTGTGTGGATAGCAACCTGAAATGCCAAACCCTGGACCCAGTCTCTGAAAGCTGACCCTCTACAAACCAACTTCAGCACCTTTCCCTGAACAAGCCATTCATAGAAAGATCCTCTTCAGATGGGCTACAGCTTAAATGGAAGGGACCTTACCAGGTGCTACTGAACATGACTACCTCAGTAAAATTAGGATTAATGTCTACCTCTCAAGTCCTCACAGGTGTACTCAAAAGATATGCCTGATTATTCCTGTAAGCCAGAGATCTTAAGCAAAAAGAAAAGTAAAGCCTTTGCTTTCCTCACATCAAGAGTGCTGCTCCTGAAGGCAGGCATGGTGTACCTGCCTCTTTGATTCTCTCTGTTATCAACAATAAAACTCCTAATGTGTTCTTCTAATATAATTCTCTATACTCAAGCTAAATGTGTTTATAATGTATCACCACCCACTATCTGGGAGTCTGTAGGATGTGGTCTTTTCATCTTAAAGGGGTACTCCAGTTACAATTGGTCATGTTCCAGTTTTGCTCATATGTATTTACAAACTTATATGTTGCAGAACTCAACAACTTCTGGGAGTCACTGACCATGCAGGGGACACAGACATTGGTGGTGACCAAGATTGCTCCAGCTCACAAAGAGAATTTGTTAGATGAGATAGGCAGAGACTTCCAGACTGAGGACAGGCAGGGCCTGCACTACATCCCTCATAAACAGGAAGCAGCTATAGAAGATGTGATGATTCTACACCCTTCAACATCCCTAGGATTAAGGGAATGGAGTCTCTGAAGGGGGGATGATGCAGGCAGTCATATATCATTAGACTTGAGAACTGGAAGGCTACGCCTTCATCACACTGTACCCAGCCCCCATGTGATCTCATGCCCCTGCTTTCCCATACCTGTGCACCGCCTGCCAATTACAAAGGCCTGAAACATGGTGGGCCTGGCCTTTTTCCCTTTGCCCTTCTTTTCCTCCCTGCCCTTAATCCCCATGCTAGGCATTCTTCAATTTAATTTAAAGCTTATTGTGGGCTGCGGCTTGTTGCTGTGCCACACTAAGCAGAGTCACACTTGCCCTAAAACAAAGGGGGGAGATGTGGGTGATCCTGTGAGACTTTCTGCCTAGCCCATGTGGCTAGCCTGACTGATGGTGGGAGGTGGGAGCCTCAGGCACATTTTCTCCCACCCCCACCTTCTGCCAATTAGGTAAACTGTTGCTGGGGGTGCTCCAGGCCCACCTGGAAAGCTACCCTAACTATGAGACCTTCAAGCTAATTGGAGATGCATATTGGTGCCAGTGTTGGTTCTATCCTATAGAGTTAGGGTTGCCCTGAATTAGTTATGCCCCTTCTGCCTGCCCTTTGAAAGTGTACATGGTCATTAATAAAGGTGGACATGTTCACTGAAGCCTGTCCCTGGTGCTTCCTGTGGAAGAACACCATTGCCTCACCCTCCCCAATGGTGTGGGCCTCACAGGACAAGTCCACAGCTCTTGGCCTGCTCCCTGCTTGGTATGGCCCCTACTTAATTTCCAGACTTTCCTTTCTCCTTTAGATAGAGCCCTCACTCTCCTATGTGTTTCTCTCACTGAATAAAAGCTTAAAAACTCAGCTTATCATCTGGTCTATTTGAGCCAGTATTCAGAATTTGTCTCTGAATTCATGGCAAGAACCCACACAGATTATTAATTTCAGAAATATTAATAAGTGCTGAAGTCTCAGGGCCTAATTATGGAGTCTTTTATTTCTAAAAGCCAGTGGCTTGCACAGGGGCGTGTGCTCTCCAAATCATACTGCCCTGAAGGAGCTCAAGGTTAAGCTTCTAAAGGCCAAAACCATATCTTGTTGAAGTTAATTACAAAGCCAAGCATTTGTTACAGGAGCTAGAGCAAGCAACATTATGCTTATCTTGGGGATATTAACAAGTTTCCCAGCACTTAATGTAAATAAACTTACAAAAAACCTCTCAGAAGATTAGTTTTTGAGTAGCTAGCAGTTGTGGGACTGGTTAGAAAAAAATAGAGGACAATCAGGGACAAAATGGAGTGACTCTGGTCAGGCCATAGATCATTTGTACTTGAAAATCAGTAAAACTTAGCCTGAGGATCTGCAGCACCTCCTGCATGGACCCAGAGGCCCCTCTGACTTTGACCACCTTGACCTCAGCATGACCCCGGCATGGCTCCCCATTCTCTGTTACAGGAAACTGGGTTGCCAGCATCACTGCAGAGAACAAGGACAGTCCCACAGTGACAGAGGTGGAGCCTGGAGCTGGAGTCTCTACAAGGGGCAAGGACCCATGGCAGTGTGGCCAGGAGTTCCCCATGTCTCACAGAGGACAGTGAGTGTGCCTCTGGTGGACTTCCTGTTGCTGGCAAAGGATTGCTCACTTCAGGACTGGTTACTACATGAATCATGCTGGCTGTGAGGCCTTAGCTCCATGCAAAACGTGGCTCATGCCTTGGCTGCCTAAAATTAATCTCAGACATGGCAAAGCAGGCCCCACAGCACTGCTCAGTGCATGGCATGGCCTCTGTCAGCAAGGATAGTGTCAACATAAAGAAGCCACATCACTGCCCCTGAGCCAAGCTCCCAAAAGCACTTGTCTGTCCTGATGTCTGAACACCAGCCTGTTTTCATAATCAATTTCATTGTGACAGGATGAAGACATCAATAAAACTAGAGAAAAAGTGGGAAAAAACCAATGTAATTCTACACAGTTTTCAAAAGACTAAGAGGAAGAATACATCTGGACTAATCCAAAATGCAAACATTATCCAACTGCAATGATTGAAGAAATCAAATTTCCACATGAGCAATAATATAAAAATCAAACTAAATTTTGAAACAGGATATTCTTCAATAGGTGAATGTATGAGTAAACTGTGTTGTATCTCTGAGAAACCTGAGCCTGGATCAAGGTGCAGCTATTTTAGAATAGGCCTCCATCTTGTAACTCAGGCCTGACCGGCCCTGAACCCTGAAGCTCATGAAAGAAAAAATAAATAAATGAACTCCCCTTGCAATAAACCCTGCCTAGCAACAGCCAATCATCAGATAGCAGGGAGATACCTAAAGTTTCAGGTGTCTTTTCAGGCACTTAAGGTAATTGATAATATCCTGAGACCCTGCAGTTTGGCACATATGCCCTAGTGGCTCAGACCCTATACTTTAGCCAATCATTTTAAAAGGCATCAACCCCAAAAGCCATCCCACCACTTTTAATAGGTCCATGCCTGCCACTGGATGCACTAATCAATTTTAAGAGATGTTCTTTGAATTTCCCATGGAATGAGATGATTTGCTGAATGGTGCTAGAATGTATAGATTGTCTCTGAAAACCCTATAAAAACCCCATTAACTGAAGTTGGGGCTTTCAACCAGACCCATGGCATCAGTGATAGTTGATCGCCCAAGCCCAGACCTGCAATAAAACTCATGTGTTTTACAATGGTATAGGCCCCTTGGTGGTCTTTGGGGACAATCTAAGTGGGCATAACATATCATACAAAAATTTTATTGCTAAAGGAAATGAGCTCACAAATCACGTGGTCCATTAGCATTTTACACGACATCTTGTTTCAACAGCCTGAACATGCAGATGAATATCTGAGAGATGGGATAACTTCAGTCAGAGTAAAGTTAAGTTTCAAGATAAAGTCTGGGACCTGGCACTGTGGTGTAGTGGCCTAAGCCTCTGCCTACAGTGCTGTAATCCCATGTGGGCTCCAGTTTGAGTCCCTGCTGCTGCACTTCTCATCCAGCTCTCTCCTTTGGCCTGGGAAAGCAGTGGAAGATGGCCCAAGTCCTTGGGCCCCTGCACCCAGGTGGGAGACTCGGAATGAAGTTCCTGGCTTTGGATTGGCCCAGTTCTGGCCATTTGGGGAGTGACCAGCAGATGGAAGATCTTTCTATCTGTCTCTCTTTTTCTCTGTCTGTAACTCTACCTGTCAAATAAATAAATAAAATCTTTAAAAAAAAAACAAACGATAAAGTCGGCCTGATTTTGGACAGGCAGAGTAAGACAGTGAGAAAGAGAGAGACAGAGAGAAAGGACTTCCTTCCATTGGTTTACCCCCCAAATGACCACTACAGCCAGTGCACTGCTGCAATCCAAAGCCAGGAGCCAGGTGCTTCCTCCTGGTCTCCCATGCGGGTGCAGGGCCCAAGCACCTGGGCATCCTCCACTGCCTTCCTGGGCCACAGCAGAGAGCTGGACTGGAAGAGGAGCAACCGGGACAGAACCGGCACCCCACCTGAGACTAGAACCCAGTGTGCTGGTGCCACAGGCAGAGGATCAGCCCAGTGAGCCATGGCACCAGCCTGAGTAGTAGTTTTACCATTAATTCACATAGTACAACACATTGAGGACAGAGATCCTACATGGGAAGCAGGTGCACAGTGATTCCCATTGTTGATTTAACAATTGACAGTCTTATTTATGATGTCAGTAATCACCCAAGGCTCTTATCTCAAGCTGCCAAGGCTATGGAATCCTCTTGAGTTCACAAATTCTGGTCTTATTTAGATAAGGCCATAATCATAGTGGAAGTTCTCTCCTCCCTTCAGAGAATGGTATCTCCTTTGATGGCCCATTCTTTCTGCTGGGATCTCACTCACAGAGATCTTTCATTTAGCAACCTGGTTATTTTAAAGTAACAAGCTGATATAAGTGCATATGAAAATGCAAAGAATCTAGGATAGCCAAAATAACTCTGAAAAAATAATAAAATCAAAGGGATGATTTTTAAGTGTTATAAATTTATACTAATCTAAAGTGTGCTGTTGTCATACAGAAAGCCAGATGACTGGAACACAAAAGAGGTTCCAGAGAAGATCCAAACACAAACAGTGAACAGGTTTTCTACAGAGGCACTATTGCAGTGCAGGGGAGAAAGTATAGCATTTTCAACACTTGTTGTTAGCACAATGAGATACTAATTTCCAATAAAATAGCTTCTATTTACAAAATTGAAAATATGCCACAGATCTAACTGTAGTTCTGAAAACTACAATACTTCCAGAAAAAAAAATCATAGAAGAAATTTTTTTTTACTTTAAGTTAGGCAAAGATTTCCTAGATACAAGAAAAATTAAAATCTATAATTGAGTACAGGGATAATTTACACTTAATCAAAGTCTAAAACTTCTTTTCTTCAAGACTTATTTATTTGAAAGGCAGAATTACAGAGTGGCAGATGCAGAGAGAGAGAGATCTTCCATCTGCTGGTTCACTCCCCAGATGGCCACAATGACCAGAGCTGGGCTGATCTGAAGTCAGGAGCCAATAGATTCTTCTGAATTTCCCATGTGGGTACAGGAACCCAAGCACTTGGGCCATCTTCTACTGCTTTCCCTGGCTATAGCATTGAGCTTGATCAGAAGTGGAGCAGCCAGGACTCA